TTTCCGGAGCTACACATTCGAATCCATTTCACAAGAAGAAGTTAGAGAAAGAAAATACCGTAGACGCCCAAGCGATACTGCAGAGTGTCCACGATTATATCATGCGGTATGTAGATGTCCGCGAATCCTTTGTAACCATACAAGCTGGCTGAACCTATTTCGTAACCACCTCCATGAACCCATAGCAAAATCGGATACCCACCAGCTGGTGCCTGTAGGAACAACAAACAAAATAAAGTGGCAGAGATGTCTTGTAAGGTGCTAGCTATTTATGTGATGCGCAAGAGTGTTTACCTCCTTCTTTGGTCGAATTACATTAACTGTCAGACAGTCTTCACTGGGATCCGGCGATAGGGCAACCGACTTGCACATCGGCTGGCCACCGTAAGTCATTGTATAGGCCACATACGCATTCAATACGCCATTATGATTCTGAATGGAAGCCGAATGCAGGGGCGCACCTCTCGGATGGGTTGACTGGCGCCCAGGCCTTTTACTTTATCCTTCAACGATCCAAGCGATAGACTTGGACGTTGGTGCTGTTATACGCTCATCGTTACTGTCCTTAGAAGAAGCAAGGCAGATCGTGTCACTCTTCAAGCAATTCTCTTAGAAGCGAGCTGTAGACGGGACTCTTGCTCTGCTCTTCATAGCTCTGGGTGGAAATGCTCACCTCAAATCTCAATTCTCCTACTGGTGCAGCAGCATAAGGTATCCCAAGAAACACTTCGGCAACTTCACCGCCTTTCGTGGAATATTCGAAACCATGAACTCTTCCAGGTTCCAGTTCAAGGACCTGTGCGAATGAGCAGACCAGTGTGCCGGCGAGCAGCAACAGAACGCCTATCATCTGAAATCAAGATTTTCTTATTGAATATTACTTGCAATTAATCAAAAAGAAATTTCAAAACGTAAAAAAGTTCGAGGAGGTAGCAATAGACTATGAGTTCGGACGTAGTTTGCCCATGTACAGGCCGGGTGGATCCCCACACCGTCACCTGTATCCCTCCCAGATATGATCATTATACTTCCAGAGCTTGGGAATCTACAGAATTCTTTAGCGGCACAGTTTCTTTTCGTTTCATTTATCACTCTCAGAGAACGCGCTACGGCTAATAATTCATGAGGATGAGACCAGAAGAATACGTTATAGTGAACATAGAACTATGAACACAATTGACAACGATAGAGGAAAGAAAGAGAAAAAAGAAAAAAGAGAATAAAAATCTACCATAACAACTCAACCTTTGTCCACGATAGTTCTGAGGTATCCGGCTTAGGTGAGATAATGGAAGTCATGAATAAGACAAAAATTGCGGAGAAAGTGCGAAAATTGGTTTTCGAAAGCGGTTTGAGAAATGAAAAGGTTCGAAAAAGTAGCAAGAATAGGGATTGTGCGAGATTACGTGACTCTGACTGTCTGGGTGTCTCCCACATAGGCGTACTATTCGCTAGTGTCTTGACGCTTTATTGTGATTACTGCAGCCGTAACAATGTCGCCATAATAGGGTCACTTTTGGGTGTACACATTTTCCAAACCTCATTGAGAGCCCTCGTAAGGCCAAGGGACTACAGGTTCATCCTAGGGAGTGGCCTAGGGAGCTGGGGGGAATCTTATGGTTAGAAACTTTTTTTTTTGATCAGCCTAATTCACGCTGAGGTCCTTTTCCTTCGTGGGTTTTCAGTAAGAAAAATCTTTTTGTGAACATTGGATTGAATTGAATTCAACACACCGGAACACAGCTAAACAGAGCAAGCTCACAAAAAAGATTTCTTTGTTACTCCAAACGCACGAAGGAAATGGACCTCATTGTGAACTAGGCTGAACAAGAAATGTACTTCGCTCTAATCCAGCTGGAATCTTACGATTGAGGCTTCAAAAACCAAAATTGGACGATGCTTTAGAAATGATTGTTATACAAGGATTGGTGTGGAATCGAATTTGCTACTAATTGATGAACGCTCATTCCAACTATTATGATCTGATTGCGATTATAAATATAACATTACTATCATAGTATGACGAAAATCATAATAAATGGAACGTTTCAATGCCATGTTGTCCTAGCGCATTAATGCGAACTTCTCAAAGATTGAAACTCCGCCTGATAAGCTTCTTCTCATTGCCAGCCATCTAGAGGAGAACCAGTTTTGCACCCACCAAAGTTGTCCATGGAAAGGTTGATGTGTCATATGTTGGGACCAGATCTTTTGTGGACCACCTG